CCTAAATGCCTTCCAGTGACCAACATTTCTTTTATTTCAATGTTTGATGACAGTGTGTCCCTCCTGATATGTTGCTCTGCAGTCTTTGAAATCCATGTAGCTTCCAGGTGGAAGCTATGAGAAGCTTACATTTCATATTCCTTACTATTTGATTAATTTTATTCATTTGGTAAAATCCTTGTAATATACACTTAACCTAATCACGGGCCCAGTGAAAATGAAATTTATGACATTTACACTTTCCACTAGGTCACAAGAGACAAGTTAAACGAAATTAAAAGTCATTACTCAATGCTGTAACAGACTCTTAACTCTTCCATAAACCTGCCATTCCTTATTGCTTGCTTTTATAGCCATGTAATCAAAAATAAACATCAAAACCTATCACCAAATAAAGTCAAGAATCTGGGATATGTTATAGGGTCGGTATTTATGAAACAACCTCTCCAAGATTTGGTTAGGTGTGATTTTTTTTACACACGCATTATTCGGAAAAATGTTTAACCCAAATTTACAGAATGAATGCAGATGCCATCTTGGTGTCCCTTGTAGGGGCACCAATATGGTGGTCATAGAGTAACAAAAACCTCTGTCATTGAGATTTGCTTTTAAATTGCACAGTTGTTAATCTAGAGCTCCAACACATTGAAATTAATACTTTGTCTGGTGTAAAAACAGTTCAGTTAGTAAAGGCTTGAAAGAAAATTCGTCTGTTGACCTATGCCTTCTCGGGTTGCCATTTTGATGTCACACAAAACAAGAGGGTGGAAATTGAAACTTCTCATATTAGAAAACAAACAATACTGTCAAGTTACAACTTTGTAAAAAGTCAATTTGTTATAGGGTTTAATATCTGATGAGATTAAAACCTAAGAAGGACAGGTAATGTTTACTTTGGAATATGACAATGTCTCTGGCAATACAATCAAAACTCTCTCGAAAGACTTGTTCCTGCAGTGCAATTATTTAACCCAGTTCAACCAGACTATTAAGCTTTCTCCAGATTTTTGCTATCATGCAGGTATAATCTGCTGTAAGTATGTACTGAATACTACTGAATATTCTCAGTACATGTCAGAATCGCTAAGGGAATTTACTTTAGTTTTGTTTCATCACAGTCATATCAAGTCTTACTCTAGATTTAGAGATTTTTCAGTATCAAATTTTCTCCTTTAACGGTGTACTTTTCTGTAGCAAGGAATTCATTATTCGAAATAGGTTTCAGTACGGACAGTGCCGACAGATCGCATTTAAATTTTTGCACGTTCTTAGCGGCAAATATAGAAATTGTTTCCATCTTGATTTCATTATAATGCTTTACAGCATAAAACTAAATGCTGATCAGGAACCTATAGTTACATTTGCTGCCAAGGGGCACAACCTTCTGATCACCGCCCAAGCTGGAGTTGGGAAAAGTGAAGTGGTTAAATGAATCATATCAGATGCAAAAGCACTGGAAGAAAGGTGCGATATGTTTGAGCGGAATCGCCTCCCAAGTTTACGACCATGGAGTTGCGTCGATGGTCCATTCACTTTATGGGTTAATGACAGCCAAATTGCCATGGTGGTAGGTTATCGACCAATATTTGTGCAACTCTCTGGTTTGCAACCGTGTGAAGGCTGTTGATGTGATCATATGGGATGAAGCTAGCATGTCCAGTAGGAAAATGTTGGAGTTAGTTAACACATTGCACCATGACCTTGCCAATCATTTAGGTCACATGTATCCATTTGTGGGAAAGCAACTGATTATTTGGGTGAATTCCTCAAGTTGCAGCCTGTTCCAAACATGTTCGACGAAGGTTGTTACATGTTTGAGTCACCTGTTTAACCATGTCATTAGTCACAGATTTGCGCTTACCCAAGTCACGAGTCAATCTGAAGAGGACCAAGAATTTCTGAAAGCGCTGTTACAAAACAGAGTCTTACCTTTGCTCCTTGAGCAGAGAGCTGACACGTTCATTAAAGAAATGTGCACTGCACATTTTCTTCTGTAACATAACGGTCATGTTAATGAACAGGGAAGAGCTTGACAAACTTCCAGGAACAATGTTAACTTTTGATGCACCTTACGAGAACAAAAACTCAAGTAGCATAAGCTGGCTGGGCAAGCGCATTTTTCAACTCAAAACAGGATGCAAAGTAATGCTTGTGTGGAACAAGTCGGATGACTTTAAGAATGGAAGTACTGGTATCTTTAAAGGTGATGGGTGACATTAACTTCAAACTGAACAAGTTTGACATGGTGGTGGTCAACAAGGCTTCTTTGGTTTCCCCAGAGACCTTCCACCTTATGGCCAGTACTTTCAATTGGCTGACTGTCCGTCCAGTGGTGGTCATCGCCGGCAACAAATGTCAACAGCGACCCCTCCAGATGGTAGACAGCAGGGTCAGCGCCAGTCTCCATCTTAAATGACGACACTTTTACCAGCCCAACACTGTCAAGCACGAAATGTACCAACAGTTTTGGATTGTGGACCCAGATTATGCCCGTTTCATGGATGTACTGCGATACAATCAGCCCACCGAGTCCCAGCTGGATGAGTTCAAAAAAGATGTCTTATGCCAGCCTGACTTTCTCCAAGACCAAGAAATATGTCAGGCCTTCAACAACAGAAAGGACACTTCCATTATGACAGTCTCTTGAGCAGCTGCCCAGAGAGTCAACAGCATGATAGTACGAAAACTCTTCACTGCACAAGAGTTCCTCAGCCCTATGTCCTGCACGGCCATTTCAGACAGCGACCCCATCTTGCCATAACATGGATTGCAGATAATCATCACTGAAAACACGGATAAGGCCGGCCGAATTGTGAACGGACAGGACGCTGTTGTGCTCTCCCGCCAGACTAATACCATAGTCATCCAGTTTCCCGACAACCAACGCGCCTTCATTTGCCCATTCACGTACCACTTGAACAGACAGGGGGACATCATGAGCTATCCATTGACTCCTGCTTACGCCAGGACCACATCCAAGTCTCAAAGAAAAAACCTGAAACATCTTTTGCTCTGACTGGACTGGTGACTGTACCCCCAGCCTGGCGTACGTGGCTCTGTCTAGCGTCCGCAAAAAGTCTGACCTATCCATACTTCAACCCATGGTTGCTGCCCAAGTGCTGCCCATCAGGACTTAAATGAACACTATCTCTTCTGCTGCAGTCTGGTCATAGCCAGTTGAAAAGTCTGTTGTCTGCGATTCTTCCATGTAACGTGTTTAATCTTTGCAGATGTCAAAGACCTCTGAATCCATCAATAGTTCCTTCTCCTTGTTTGGGAAGAACACCAACTACAACAAGAATTTTCCCAGGAACCTGAGAGGAAGGAACATCTCAGAGGAAGGCATCCTGCAAGGCCTGCATGACTGGACTTGTGAGTGGCTAAAACGGTCCAACATATCCATCTCAGAAATGGCTAGGACTCTCAAGGACAATCTTCCGTTGATAAAACAGTACAGTGTCACCCTGTTTAACAGCCACTTAATGTGTGATCTCCTGGAACCCTTCCGGCGACTTCGCGAGGCTCTGGTAAAACTCAACGAAAAAGACAAGTTCAACGAGCCCGCCAGCAAAGATGTCATATCTCTATACTCTGGTTCATTGACGAGAATCCCGCATTGGACCAGGCCATACGCGACGCCTTTAACACAGCTAGAAAAATGATGATGGTCAGCATTCATCTCATGGTCACATAGACCCTCTTGCGGGATCTGGCAGATTTTGCTGCAAAGACTGCCAGGACGCCTGCCAATGAAAACTTCAAACAAGAACCCACACCCAAAACAATTCGGGAGTATCTCCTAGACTCTGTCATCAAGGTGTCGCCCAGTACCTAGAAACGTCTCCATCTAGGACAATGAGACAACGACGAGACAGCGGCCACTGCTGTGCCAAGACGCCGATTCCAGAGAACAGGAAGTAGTCGTCAAAGAGGCTCCTTCGGCTGGGAACACTTGCCCCCTGGACCATTTAGACCAGAGTCCTTTGACCTGGAGTCCAGCTAATTGGTCGGCTGGCTCGCCCTAAGAAACTCCCTGCCGCAACAAAACAGCCAGGAAACAACGGAAACAGCCAGTGCCTGTCCAGTCTGAGGACAAATCTTCTGATGGTCTTTACGCAGAGGAATCCAGTGTCGAGGCTGGAAAAAATGGCTCAATTTCCTCTATGCCAAGGTCTAGCCCCATCCAGTCCTAATCATCATTCTCCTCTTCCTCTGATTCCTCAGAGGATGACACAACAGTAAGCAAAAACAAGCCTAAGGCGCTGATAAGAAATACGCCACATCCTGGGCTAATGTCTCCTCGTTGTCCAAAGGAAAGCAGCCTACAAAGGTGCCCGCCACAACCACAACTGCAAAACCCAAGGGCAAGGAGGCTGCAGCCAAACCCTCTGAAAAGGATGCAAAAAACCAGAACTCGTTCTTGTAATCAAAAGGATCAAAGAAAGAACAACAGCTTAAAAAAACAACAGTAACACCTGAACTCCAAGTAAATTGCTTTTAATTGGCGGTTTTAATTAACAAAATTTCTAAAGCGATCCCTTTCAAAATATTAATGTTAAAAATGGTCCATTATGTTTTTCTTTTTTCACCCAGATGTTCTAACATAGCCATCTGCGGTTGTTGGAAACCAATTATGTATTCAGGGTGACCAACTGCATCACGCAATTGTTTACATTTCCATGGCAGTTCAGGAAAAAATTTATGAGAAACACAGGCCAAGGCAGACAACTTCTAAAAAACCATTTGCCCAGAGATGCTTTTTTAATTTTCAAACAGGTGGGTGTATACATTATCGTGCAAAAGTAATGCAAATGTATTTCGCCGAAATTCATGGCCTTTCTTGGCTTTGCGACGATAAAATATTGAATTTTCGATGGAAGCGAATTTCTGATAAAAAGTCACAATTGGCGACGCCTATTGTTTCCAACTACGCAAATTTTCGAATGACAATTTGCTTGGTACGAAAAATGGCTTTGAATTTCTAAGCAAAAAATCGCTCTGTTCAATAACTGACTTTGAACATTTGAGCAAAATTTCGTTCTTTATTAGCTCTGCTCGAACATTCCAAAGCATTTTGTAGACAACACTTTGCCAAGTTCAAATTCTGAATTCTGAGAACCCTTCTGCAAAGAAGGATAAAACTGTAGTGCAACACTGCCAAGATTTGCCACTTAGGGTCGACAATGTTGCATGTTTGGGGTTAACTTTATTAAACTTCCCTAGAGAGAATTGATTACAATGAAAATATCTTCTTTAGAGAGATGAAACGTGAGACTATTTATTTGTTTCCTTTTTTCTTTTTTATCGTTGTTAAGAATATATATGTTGCTTTTACAATACTTACATATAATACAATACAATGATCAGTAGCACGCTTGTCACACGCTAATGGAAAAATCACAGATTTGCTCGAATCGTATAAAAATTTCTCGGCAAACAATGATCAGATCTGCTTGAGACTTTCCAAAATGTGACCTGATTTGGGAAAACATACACTAACGGATATCCGTTTAACGGCCTGAAAAAACGGTAAACAAACGGATAGAAAACGGCCATCAAAAGCGTTTAAACGGTTGCTCAAACCGTTAAAACGGTTTGAGCAACCGTTTAAACGGATGAGCAAAATAATTAAACGATTTCCTCAAATCATAAAACGGTTTCCTAAACCGTTCGAACGGATGCGTAAAAACG